CGATCATGGGCTCTTGGAAACATTGATCAATTTCCACAATGTTTGAAAGTTGTCCAAACAACTAATCGATTAATCTGGGAAATAATCGACAAATTAGTGGTAGTCCTTAAATCAAAATCAACCACATACAAAGGGAAACTACATCAAAACAACAAACCCATTGCCATATTTTTTCCTTTTTAACAATAATAAACAGACACACACACACACACACACACACACACACACACACACACACACACACACACACACACTAGATACACTGATCCCATCGCGCGCGCTCCTTAGGCTCCCACGTGTTTGTCTTTGCGGTGTGAACAGACTATAAGCCCCTCTGCTCAGCTGTCATAATTTGTTAACGAGTCTTTTCAGGGAGCGAAAAAAGAAGGAGAGAAGAGAGAAAAAAAGAAAAGAAGGCTCTTCACGAGTGACTGAAAAGCTGAGGTCCATCCAGAGAGGGAACCCAGGGGCGACATCAGACCGATTTCAGACCGGCCCGTGATGGCATCTCTGTATATTTTAATATTAATGACCCCCCCGGCCTCTATAAGCCTCCAACAGGTGCCCCCCAGCCCCACTCGAGACTGAAAAACCATCATTCAACATCCAAGCATCCAGTAGTACCATAAAGACTCAAAATGCCGAGGGTGAAGGTGGAGAAAAAAATGAGTAAAGACAGGGGAGTTAGAGAGTCAGCCATCACTGTTTTTTATAAGTACGTTTTTTGAGTCACTTTTCCCAGCTGAAACACGGCTCGATATGTCCCCCCTCCCTTGAGAAAGAGATTGACTTTTGTTTGGAGTTTGTGAGAAGTGGGAATCAGAAGCAGGACAATGGGACTCCCCACGGTGAGAGGCTGAGAGGAGCCATCTCAAATCAGTCAGCCAGAGGACTGACTAATCCGGCCATTGTCCCTCCCCAGCCACCGGCCGCACATCAACACATTCGCCCCCCCATTGTCCCCCCACCCTCCACCCCTCATGCAGCGGGATTTGCCTCTCCCCAACAGCCAGTTTTGTCCACGGCAGTTCGAGCGGAAGTTTCTCACTGACAATTTGCCCCAAATAGATTTGTCAGAGCGTCCAAGCACCGCACCGACCTGGACCTGTGGGTTTCTGGGTTTGGGTTCTGCCTCCGGGGTTTGCTCTCTCCATGGTGAGGCCGCGGTGTGTGTGGAAATGTGGATGTGTGGAAGAGATGGTGGGAGGGTACTGGTGTGGTATAGCCTCGAGGGATCTTGTCTCACTTCAAGAGGGCTCACTGTAACACGACGTGTGTTTCATGACGCTTTAACTTCCGTATGGCACCTGCACTGCTTAAAGTAAAACACCACAGGGCATCCAGTGGTGGTGGATTCAGTTTCTGGTCTGGGACTTTTACTTGAGTAAAAGTACTAATACTGCACTTTAAAAACAAACAAACCTATAAGTCAAAGTCCAACGTTCATGTGTAGGGTATGCATCATTCGGAAAATTATCTAAAAGTAAAAGAACTCCAATATCTGTTACACTAGTTCAATATTTTATCATTAGATTACTCTTGCGGTATTTCAAACACTCATTTTGTTTGATGTAGGTGAGGATTTTTATCAGCTCTATTAGAAGACTTTATTAAAGACTTTTTTTAGTCTTTAAAACGTCCGATTTTAGTGAGAATTTCTGTCACAATCATCCAAACAGCTGAATTGATTATCAAAAGATAATGACATTTCTCCCAGTCGACTAATTGATTAACTGACTGATCATTAAAGCTGAATCTACTAGTATGAAGTTTTGAGTATCCAAACGTCATGTTTTATAAGCTCTTCATGTTTTTAAAACATTTTAATTTGAAATGTAACCAGCACCTAAGACAAATTACTGTATGTGGAAGTAACAATGGGGCAATTATCTGCGTCAGTAGCTTTGAAATGGCTCTTAATGCTGAGGTTGTATCTTACATTTTGGACAGTTTGCTGTTTCTTAAACAGGTTAGGTAGACCTTGTAGGGGGGGGGAATAGTCTCAATCGGTGACTGAATGGATGGATTCACCGGTGTGTCTGCTGTCAGTTTCAAATTGGATGTGAGACTCTGCATGAATCAAAACCTGATTTGAAATGCTCAATTAAACACTTAACATGTCAAATAAAATAGAGGATTATCATTCATTAAATGCATCGATCGAATTACTAACAGCGACACGTGGCCCCTTTATATATTGGATAGCACGCGGACAGGTAACCTGGATGTGTTTAGAGCTGTCCGTGGTGCTGAAATCAGGCGGAACTTTCTCCAAAATATGAAAGTTTTATTATATGTCAGATTATACCGTATCGATGTAACCAAGGAGATGTTTTTTGCTGCTGATTTTGTCGCTTAGTTGAAGCCCTTTACTGCTATCGTGTGATCAATCACGTTTAAACACTATTATTTGTCATAAATAAGAGCTGACACAGTGATTCTTCACTGCTAAGACAATCATCTTCTGCTCTGAGCACCATTCAGCAGAAGGCTGCACAGCTATTCTCTCCCTGGTCACGTTTAAAGGATGCAAGGCTGCCTGGCTCTTTACTCTGCTTGAATCCTCCTCATTATTTGCTCTCTGGAGCTTTGTGACTTCTCCCTAAAGCCAATTGGTTTCCGCCTGGACGGTTTGGGGGCCTGCACTGTGATAGCAGTGCGTAAAAAGATGGTTCAACTATGGCCTCCGAGGGGCGATTATCTATAGGAAAAACAAAAATGATCTATCAAAAATATTAAATCAAACTCTTATTTAACATTATATTGTCATTTATATTATTTCGATATAATTGAAGTATAAGTATGAGCTAGAAAATAAAAAATGTACATGGTGTTTAAAAGAAATAGACTTAGATATCCACATATTTCTTGTGCATTAGGTCTTTTCAATCGATAATAGAAAATCCTAAAATATGTCAAGTCACCCAGAATAGTCTTTATAGTGCTTTCTTGTGACTTCTTTCGACTCTCGCTCCTTTCTAGTTGTTTAAGTCTACCCTTTAGTATGTCAAGTATCCCAATACCGATGCTGAGCTCCCCCAAAAAACAGATACACAATCCAGTGGTCCCTTTGTTGGAGTCATTTCATTGACTGTTGGAGGAGAAGAGAGTCACTAATACAAAAAAGTGAAAGAAGGCAACCCCGGCAACCATGATGTTGGTTATATTTGTGTAAAGGCTATCAGTGAATGACGAGGATTAGGACGAGTTAAGGAGATTATGTCACACATTCACAACTCAGCCACCCCGGTAGCCACCCACACACACGCGCGGATTCGAAATAGATGAAAATGTTGTTGATCTGAGAGTATTCTGCATTTCATATTTCTACTTTTAAACACTATCGGATGTTGTTTAATAAAAGGCCATCATTTCAAACGTAGGAGAATTAAGTGTAGCTTATAATAAACGGAATTAGGGTTTTTATTTTGAAGGGCACTTCTATGAGATAAAAAAAAAACACAATATGGAATATTATGGAAATGTTTCTCCTCAAGCTTGTTAGTGTCCTCTCGGCTGTTCAGCCAAAGGGCAGGTTGAAAGACACAACAATGGCTGATTGCAATTAACTCCGCCCCTCCGCCTCCACCCTGTCCGCTTAAATCGACACTTTGTGAGTCCATATGGCCCACAGTGTACCGTGGGAATGAACACAATTAGAAAAAAAACAGAATATGGATTTCTTAGAGTTACCGGGAGAAAGCACAGCAAGCTGTCAAGGTCAGGGTGTCAGAATGCGGGGCCCCGCCGCGAGCCTTCGGACGGCCGGGCACAGTGTGCACCCCAGGGTGGGGGTCCTGAATCCCATCACTGACTGTAGGGCGCCGTGGGAGGTGTGCAACATTACAGCAACTTTAATCCAGTTTACCCAGTGCTTGAAGAGAGGGAGCTGATTAATTTGACGTCACTAGTTCATTAACGAGTAAAACAAAAAGTGTCAAACTTTAAGTATTGTTGTTTATTGTATTGATGGACTTTTTAATAAATAAACAAAAGATCTGGAATATCAAAAGCGATGAAGTGGGAAACATCAGTTTTCCATTAAGTGGATTCATAAAACGTTGGCCATAAAAAAATAAAAAATACCAAAAAATAAAAAATGTAAAAAGGGGTGATAGAGCGAATCAGTTTTCAAATTTTTTTGTCTTCATTTAGATTTATTTTATAAATACCATCAATAAAATGAAAGGAACATCTTCGGCTTTTCATTTAAATATGTATGTCACTTTACACGCCTTGCCTTGCCCTAAAATAGTTTTTGTCTGGATATCATGCACTTAACAGTACTCTAGATTCTGATAAATCACGTTAATCAATCAATGAAAATCCCCTATATTGACAGGTTTAGTCTGCTTGAAAAAAAAAGCTACAACAGGTAATGCATATTAATCAGTGAATGAATGACGTAGCCTGACGTTTAACCATTAATGCATGCAGTATAGATGACTTACCCGCAATAAGCTTTATAAAGGAATTCTCAACTGGGCTATGTATCTGGACAGTTCCACGTTATTAAACAGTAAATAGTCTGTCAAAATACATCATTTAAAATAGTTGGCTAAATATTCTTATGCGACTGTTAGTAAGTATAGGTCTGCTCAGCATGCACATTCTGAGCACTTCAATTATCAAGGACTGTATATGTAACCAAGCACAGATGTTTTGTGTATTTTATGCCCTGGCATTCCTGGTATTTTTTATAGCAGACACGGAGTTTTCAGCAGCATTGCCTTAAATTAAGAATCAATAAATTCAAACACATCTGTATCTAGTTGAAATGTTGCAGAAAACTTGCATGAATGTTTTTGTTTTGCAATGCCTCTTGATCCATGAGCAAGGCACTTCACATAACTTGCACCCACATTCACACGATCAGCCACCAACTCTCTCTCTCTCTCTCGCTCGCTCTCTCTCTCTCTCTCTCGCTCGCTCTCTCACGCCAGTGACGTCAGGCTGGAGTTTGGAGTAGAAAGCCAAGTGGATGAAGGAAGTGGAGATCTCCACCCTGCAGCTCCCCCTGACACTTCTCATAAATATTACCGAGGCTTATTTGAACAACTCGCAGCACAAAGTCACACCGTGTCCTGCTCTTAACCCGCTTTTCGCCTGTCAGAACAAGCGAAAACTGCCTCTCTTTTTTTGCGCTCCAGGCTGCTTCTCACCACATCCAACTTTATGCGCTGGTTGCTGCGCCGCGAGCTGGACGGCTGCTGCTCCCGCTAACAGGTCGCTGCCCCAGGGCTACAGACTGGTTCTTATCCCGCAAAGAAAGCCTCACGTCTGACTGTCAGATACGCTGTACAATCCCGTGTCTTGATCTGGGCTCTTGAATCGGAGATCTGTCAAGTTTGGCAACTTGGGATTTAGTTCCGCCGATCTTCTTGCTGCTGGTAAGGCTTTAAGGAAAGTGTCGCTTTCTCGCCTTTCTATGTAAGCGGGAGAAGAGGACGAAGAGAAAGAGGATTTTTTTTTCTCCTTTAACTTTCCTCTAAAGTCGTGATTCCATGATGAGCAAACCTGCTGGCTCAACAAGTGGCTGTCTGGATATTCTGAACGTCAAATCAAGTAAGTGCGGCTGCTCTCTTTGCTCACTCGCTCAACAGTTCGGTGTGTTGGAAAATAGTAGACAGGCCTCGGTTGCAAGTAAATAGTTATTTACGTGACCTGTTATCTCAAATGGCATAACCAAGTCACTGCAGTTCATCAGTCCGATCGTTCCTCGTGGTCTCAGGAAAAACGTGAGTAGTGCTCCGCGGGGAATAGTCCAGCTGTCGTCTGAGTGCGTAAAAGTGGGTCCATGACGGTTTATTGAAGCGCTCGTGGCCTGGTTGGAAAGATTTCACTTCGGAAAAAATAAATGTTGTTTGTAAATATGAGAGGGAAGGAGATTATACTCTGTAACAATGTGCTAGTGTCACACTGGATGCCACTTGTTGACTCGTAACGTCATTTTGGCTTCAGGCTGTAATGAAGCCTTTCCCAGCAAACTATTCAATGACTGATATTCAGATTAACAGCGTGTATAAGAGACTTTCCTCTTGCTGTACTGATCGTTTTGTTAACCCATTTTTTTTTGTTGATGAAACTGCGCCAATCTTTCCTCAGATATCGCGCAATTTTATACTAGCCTAATTAAAAAAAAAAACATTTACAAAATAAATCTGAATGCGTTCGGTTATCTTAGATTTAAATATGATGTCATGAGGGTACTGTGGATAATTAAATGGTGGTTAAATGTTTTGCATTAATTTGAAATAGTGTCTTATTTTTTCTTGACCTTTGCAATGAGGCCTCATATGGCCTCACTTTAAATGAGATTATAACACAGGCTCAATTGCTCTGTTTTAAAAGAAAATAGCCTATGTCTTCTGATAAATTGACATTTGCCTTTGGGTCTCTATTAGTGTAGTTAATATTTTCCACACAGGTTTCACACTGCTGTTTCTGTTTATTCTCATGTACTCAGGCTACTGCAGATGACCAATTAATTTAATTATAAATAAAACAACTTGCGCTAACACATCACAGCTACTGTCAGTCAGGGTCAAACCTAAATTATGGGTGGTCAGCAGAAACATTTCCTGCTGCCAGTAAAACTAAATTTCTCTTGTAGCAGCTTCTCGACCTGATGGTGATTACGTTAATAGAAGATGCCATATATCTTCAAGCAATTACTGCACACAATGGGGACGAATTGGACCCCCACAGCGGGAAGTTAAATACATTTCCCCCTTTCACAACAAAATTGTGCAGCATTTTATTTAATTGTCACTCGAAAAATCTACAGAAAAATGTTTTTTTTTATTGTAAGTGCAACTTGTTGAAATGTTGCGCACTTTATTTAAAATAACTACAAATATGCTTAACATTTTTACATTGGCTGTGCGTAAATGAACTTGACTTACCGAGCTTTAATTTATTCAATTGATGTTAATTAATAAGAGATTTAATTAGTAGGGACAGTATTGTAATTACAAGAAACACATGTAGAGTCGTCATGGTGAATAGCAACAACAAAGTGGATACCATTTATTATTACACAGCAGCTAAATTATTTTTGAATTAACCGTGGGATAACAAGTTGACTTTTAGCACGCTAACTGTTGCTTAAGCTCTCAGCAGACACACATTCTGCATCTCTCTGCAGCACATGTCAATGTCGCGGCTGTGACCAACAGTCATCCCTCACGGTCTTCTGGGTTTTTAGTAATCTGCCAATTGAAACCCTATAACTCTCTCCTGGAGTCATTGTTTTTGCTGCTCACTGGTTATTCCCATGCTACCCTTTTTGCCGGGTCACTGGTGAATCAATGAGCAGGTGGCAAAACGTCAGTGTAATTACATAGACGGCGTTTCCCTCCAGAATAAAGAGAGACTCCCTCATGTGCATATAAATATAGTTCTATAGATTTCTAAACTGAATCGTCAGAGGGTGGAAAAAAAAAATCAAATTTTTTCATCTCTACCGGGTCGATTTACATACACTTCATTTGAGTTGGTGAAACGAGTTGGTGTGCATTATTCTCATGGTGCAGTGTCACTCCCTAATCCCGGGGCCTATAGACCTGCGGGATAAAGCAGCTGTCGAGTCCCATTATGAAGGGGAGTTGGCAGCTTGTCGAGATCCAGGCAGTCAGACGAGGTTCAATGGGGGAAAATCATTAAGTTAACACTTTCCCCTAATGTCTCCATTGTGCGCCCCCGGTCTTTTGTCTTAGAGAGCTCAGATATGACGCTTCCCACCGGACTTTATTCTGGAAATGTGCGCCATGAATTCCCATGGTGGGACGAGGCGCGGGGCGCAGTCCAGTATGTGTGTGAGTGTATATTCGTGTTTTGTAGGGTTTCTGACAGAAAAAGACAAATGAATTATGCGATTATTTGTTGGTGTAAAAACGCCTTAAACGACTTCATTATTGGCCTTTCCTGTACATTGTGTGTACATTTAAGACACATTCATTATAGGCCTAATAGTCTACTACTGCAAAACTAATAGACTGCAATTCATCCAGATCTTTTAAAAGTTTGATCAGATTAGTTTTTTTTTATCTAATCAGCATTTAAATCATCATGTTAATAGGCTGCATTTTTGTATTTTTTCTCAGGTCGAATACTGGACATCCCCTGCAAAGTGTGCGGAGATCGCAGCTCAGGGAAACATTACGGTGTTTACGCCTGTGACGGCTGCTCGGGATTCTTCAAAAGGAGCATCCGCAGGAACAGAACATATGTCTGCAAATCTGGCTCTCAGGTGAGGCCTCCTCCTAATACTGTGTCTTTCAAATTCTCAAATATCCTCATTTTCACAAAGGCCCAGAGTCAATAGGCCTGCAAGTTCGCACAGTTTTGATTGTTTCAATTTGGTTTAATGTCGTTGACAAGAGGGTAAATTGAACATCTAAATAAACATGGAGAAGCTCATCTATGCATGTTGATTTACGGCTATTTCTGTCCAGCTCACTCCATAATTCCCCCCGGAAACTTACAGTTAGGCTTATTGAGCATGCAGATAGATCCGTATTCCAAGTGTTATAGTGAGCAAGATTTACATGATCCAGCTTCCCCATTACTCATTACAAAAAAAAAAAGAGCTGCACGCAAGGTATGCTCATTTTTACGCACGGATTCTACTTACTCTTCTCTCCTGGCGCTGTGTTAAGTCTCCCCTGATGAGCCTAATTGTGTCATGCCTCTACCATTAAGCATTGGGCTAAACACCGCGCTGCTGTAATATACCAGGTGTAATCCAATCTAATGTGATGACTCTGAGGCGAGGATTTAGGCAGCAGAGGGCGGGATTGAGTGCTTATCCTCCGGGATGAGGCCACACTGCATCGGCAGGGGACCAGGTCGATAACTGCGCGATAATAGCGAGAGCTTTCACCTGGAGATTGGCCTCCCAGGAAGATAATAATAGGAAGCGTTTTTATTGTAAAACTGGGAGAAATTCAGGCTGTTAATCACCCCGTCTGTCTGTGTTTTTTGTGCAGGGTGGCTGTCCAGTGGACAAAACCCACAGAAACCAGTGCAGAGCGTGCCGTTTGAAGAAGTGTCTGGAAGTGAACATGAATAAAGACGGTAAATGAGTTTAATTGAATTATCACTTCAGCCGTATACGCGCTGTGTGCTGGCGTTTGGGTTAGAGGTGAGGGACTTGGATGGAAAAGTGTGTTAAGGTTGTTAATAAAAGCTCAAAAGAATGAACATTTAGATGATTATTGCATAACGGTATTTATATTATTTAGAACTGTTCATCTGGGTGAGCATGTATTGATTACATTAAAGCTAATTATTTGACCAAATGCAAACACAATTTTCCCTTTAGGACCTTTATTTTTGGAATATGTATCAGTTAAATATAAACAAAAGTAACAGTAGTCAATGGGGGGAAATGAATGAAACACATTGGATGAATGAACTTCTTCATTCCTTCACTCTGTGTTCACCTCTGTCCCGTTCCACAGCCGTCCAACACGAAAGGGGCCCCCGGACGTCCACTATCCGCAAACAGGTCGCCCTATATTTCCGGGGGCACAAAGAGGTGAACGGATCGTCGACCCATTTCCCGGGATCCTCTCTGCCCGGCCCTCCCTTCTTCACCACGGTCACGCAACTGGAACCTCACAACCTGGAGATGAGCGGGGTGGCCACCACGCCGGAGAGACAGGCCATCGTGGGTCTGGCACAGCCAACACCGAAGGTATGACTGAGTTGATTTTGTTTTGCCAAAATATGATTCTTTTTTTCGTATATCCCGGGATTTAACGGATTTAAGTTTTCCACTATAACGGAATGTGCCTCTGCAGATTTTATTTAACTTTTATAAACTTTATGTAATTATTTTTTTTTAAATTATCAGAATATATTTACTTTAAAATGTATCCTGCGGATTTGTGTTATTGCCTTCACAAATAGGATTAGGCCTACAGATTTTTTTTTTTTTTCGCAAGGGTTAGAAGTTGAAATTCTTGTCCTGATTTAGCAGCTACAAATCCGCCTATTAGATTTCTCACTGTAAATCCTCCTCAAGCAACACTAATAATTATAAAACCAGGTGCTGGGGCTTGGAATTTGACCTTGTATGCTTCACGGTTCTCTGCACTGTGTTTCAATACAATGAAACAAGCTGATCCTTTTTTTGCTGATGGTGATGTATTTTGCCTATTCCAGTATCCACATGAAGTCAACGGCACCCCGATGTATCTCTACGAGGTGGCCACAGAGTCTGTGTGCGAGTCTGCAGCGCGCCTCCTTTTCATGAGCATCAAGTGGGCGAAAAGTGTTCCCGCATTCTCCACCCTGCCTTTATCCGACCAGGTACAGTATGGACTGAGGGGCAAGGGGGAAGTTTACGTGTTCAAATCAAACCCTTCACTTGAAACTTGAAGGAGTTGATTTGGTCAATAATTGATGTTCTACATGATTCTACTCTGTAGTCATTTTAGTTTTAAAATATTTAATTTGAAAAGCTGGGACTCCCTCACATAACGTCTGTCTGTGCGCAATATATAAAAAAAAAACATTCTTACTGTTTATGTGGAAAATCATTTCTTCATTGAAGTGCATATCTAACTCTGGAACAACTCCTCCTTGCAGCTGATTCTTTTGGAGGATGCGTGGAGGGAATTATTTGTTCTGGGCATTGCACAGTGGGCCATTCCCGTGGATTCCTCCACTCTTCTCGCTGTTTCGGGTAAGTACGAGGCACGACGCGGGTTCAAAGTTCCTCTCACAGGGCCTGAAAAGCCCGACGTTATTCTGTTTAAGAGTCAGCGTTGTTACAAAGTGCTGTAGGCCTAATGGCACCTCTCGACATGCATTCCCAGGGATGAACACCGAAAACACGGAGTCTCAGAGGATGAATAAGATCATGTCTGAGATTCAAGCACTTCAGGAGGTGGTCACCAGATTCAGACAGATGCGCCTCGATGCCACAGAGTTCGCCTGTTTGAAATGCATCGTGACATTCAAAGCAGGTCAGTGGCCCACTCTTATTTGACATTTTATAGCATTACCATCCAATAAAATCGATTCAAAGTTGTGCAGTATAAATATGTTTACTTCCACTGATAATGATTTAATCCTCCATGTTCTGACACACAGTTCCAACGCACGGCAACACTGAGTTAAGAAGTTTCCGCAACGCCAGCGCCATCGCTGCACTACAAGACGAGGCACAGCTCACCCTCAACAGCTACATACACACCAGGTAACACCTAACTCAATCAATCAACCAGTCAGTCAGTCAGAAACGCATGCATGGTTCACTCTCTACTGCAGCTTGATTCATGACGCTCAAGCCTCTGAACTCTCCTGTAATTGCTTGCACGTGCAACACTCTTTAAATTAGCAGCTTTTCGTCACAGGTGTGTGTTAATTGGCTATAGACCGAGACAGTCTGCAAATAAGAGTATGGAAGATACGGGCCCTTTCTGACCCTCGCATGTTGTCTTGCAGGTATCCCACTCAGCCCTGCCGCTTCGGGAAGCTGCTCCTCCTCCTCCCTGCTCTCCGCTCGGTCGGCCCGTCAACAATAGAGGAGGTGTTTTTCAAGAAGACCATAGGGAACGTGCCCATCACCAGGCTCCTTTCCGACATGTACAAGTCCAGCGATATATGAGCTCTGTCGACAGATGGAGGGGAAATACTTGAAGGTGAAGGTCCAGAGAGCCACCGAGCAGAAAACAGACTGGCAGTCATAGCAGGTGTAACCGTTGCCTTACAGGCTCGCATAAAACAAAGACTGCAACACAGCCAGAATTCACCGAGTAGCCTGTTAACAGTCAGTAGAGTTCAGGATTAGTTTGTAACTTTCATTATAGAATGACTGAAGCCGCCATCTTTGCTGTGGGCACCGACTGCCTGCAATGTTTAAATGTCGCCTAAAGACTCTGGAGAGCACAAGTGCCAACTAGGCCTACGTCATACTAAGAAATATTATATATATATATAAAAGTTTTTCGAGTCTCTGAGACCAATGAGCTTGCCGACCAATCTAGTCTTTTTATTGCTGTGTTCAATCCCAATGGAGGAAACCAAATAAAGACGACGCATGCGTAATGGGGACGTGATTCGCTGTCCTCTCGATCCGGTGCTGAAACCAAACGCATGAGTGAACGAAAAAGAAAATGCCTACTCTCTAGAGAATCATCAGCTGGCATTGCCTCCTGACTGTAAAACGACATTAATCTGAAGACGGTGTTTGTATTTAAGTGGTTACTGTCCTGTTTGTGTTGGTGTGACCTTGTTTGAGGCGCAGCAGTGAAAATGTTTAGGTCGACTTTGTGAAGTTAGACACTAACACTGGATAAAATTATGTTCAGCACTTGGAAATGTTCTTTTGTGGCCTGTGATGTTTCTATTTTGTTGTAAATATTTGGAGTTATAACTATTTAGAGTTGTAACCAGAAGAATAAAATACACTGAATTAAACTGGTTTCATAAAATATAGATATAAAATACCTACTGCAGATTGGACATTTGTTTTAACTCCCACATCATAACAAAATAAAGGTACAAAACTCAGGCTTAAAAACACGTATCATCAGAACTTCATGTGGCCTTATATTGGGAGAGGATTCTGTTTTTTTGGCCTTATCAATGATTGTTCACTTAAAACTAGTCTTTATTTCACCAAAGTAGCTGGAAGGCAGTTATTGTTAAAGATGTTGACACAGGTACATGCATTTGATCACTGAAAGCTAAACAGCACTTATTCTTTCACAGATCTTCAACTGTTTCATCAAACTGTAAGTCAGACACAAAGATTTAAATTTTGAATGACCCAACAGTCCTTCTTTGGTCACATTAACAAGCTTTGGAGAGACATTCCAGTTTTAAAACCGATAATGGACACAATAAGCTAAGTGCATGGCAATAGGGCTACTAATAATTATGCGACACATTTAGTGTTTAATAATACTGTTCCCTTAAAGTAAGGCCATGTCATGATACTAGTTAATGCAAATTCACTTGAAGGCTTTGAACAGACTCAGTTCTGCTTTTACAAGGCTAAACAAATACCACTTTAAAATACCATGCAAGTTAATTTGGTGGCATATAAAAATCAATGTTTGAACGACCATTTATTTATAATCCATTATTTGTCAACCAGTCAAATAAACTCAGATTGACCTGATCGTCATGAAGCATCCTGCATTACGTCATGGATTAAATGTGTTTGAACCGTTATTTTGAGTGTAATTTTTAACTGTTTTCCAAATAAAAACTCAGGAGGGTTTTAAATAAGCTCTGTGCTGAGGCCTAAACTGTTTGGTAAATGAAGATAATAGATTTATAATGTTGAATATAGGATTGCAGTAATGTTTGTGGCATTATGCAGCACCTGGTTGACTTGCTGTAGGGAGTGAGTGTGTGACCGGTCATGAGTCCAAATCAACAGATGTAATTATGCGTGGAGACATTTCACCTATTTTATTGGAAAATCTTCAAAATAAACAAAAATGGCACAGCAGTATACAAATCTCAAAATGCATTAAGCCAGTAGAAATACTGCAGTTCCCTCTGTGTAAATTACTTCTTTCTTACTAGAAAATCACTGTGACAACTGGGCAGGTGCTGGTTGACATAAACACACACACACGTGCTTCCTTTTTTAAGTGAGATTTGAAAGTCAAGGCCCATCAAATACAAGTGTGTGCGTGTGTTTGTGTGTTATGTTGCTAGTTACGGTGAGCAACATGCCAGTATTAGGACAAACACACAAATATATACATATATATATGTATATATGTTTAAATGAGGGGAAATGCTTGGTGTCTTTACAAGAGCTTTGCTTACATAGAACGCTCATTCAATGTTACTATATAAATGAATATATTCAAGACATATACCTAAATGATAAATACATAATATATCCATGTTAGTGGCAGTTCCAGACATAAAGAGATATAACCATAAATTACTTTATAACCACACTTATGTGTCGAACATTCTTGACTCCAATTAGAAGGTGAAAAACCAACACCTATCAGGATCACTAATTCAACTGAAAGAGGCTGTGAATGACAATGTTTTGGTGGGGCGCAGGGAGGGAATGTTGTCACTTAGATGTATTTATTTATATATTTTTGTCTGAGAGGAACCTGGAGCAGTGAAGAGAGCTTTGGGTTGTTGAGGACCGAACTGGACCGGACCAGGCCCAGCGGAGCCATTTTTTTTTTTTTTTGATCAGGCTTGTCTGATTTTGGATGGGGTGTAGCTCTTGTCCAACGACTCGTCCTGTAGAAACATGTGCAGGCAGCGTTCGTTCTGAGCAAGAGGGTGACCCGCCACTCTGAAACACACAAGAGCAAAAAGCACATTTTAGACCCCTACACTGCTTGAAGACATAAGGACATTGAAAAACAGAGATGTGAAAAATCAACAGAGACAACAGACATATGTGTCTAATTTTAGGTAAGTAATCAGTTCAGGATTTGTGTTGTTAAAGTGTTAGCATGTACAGATTCACTTAAGTGACATTTCACAGGATGTAAGTTAAATTTCTATTTCCAGAAGCTTCATGACCTACTCGCTCAACAAAGAGTACACAGAAGCACAACCAGACCAAACATCTATACCAAGGTTTTTAAATATGACCCTCTAATACATCAGACCTGTTTCTCTGGTTCAAGTTCTCAATTTAACCCTGTGTCATGCCATCTTATGATCAGAAAATAACAAGACAAGACACTCTTTAATCCTAAAGCGCCTCAAATGAAGTAGATGTAGCATCAGCTGAAAATGAATTGGTGTTTTACCTCTCTTTGAAAGGTGTTATACACAGGTTTTAAATGTTATACAACAGAACATATTATTCACAGTGCGTACATTTTAGGTTGGGAAAAAAAAAAAAATGTAGTGTTGGATGTTATCAGGATGTGATATGTTATCCGTGCTGTCCCACACCAATCACACTGTGATTATTTAATGCCACTCCCAGTGAATTTTTGTGTTAATACTTATCTTTGTTTTTGAAGACTTCCTGTCGCTCCATGCCAGCATAGTGAGAGAATCGTGCCCATAATCAACAAACCACAAAATCAAGGGTTTGTGGGATCCTGGTAGCCTATATAAGGCTTTAAAGCCCGGACCATGAAGTGTTCTGGCACGTTGACTCATGTTCTCACTGGGTCTCTCTGTTCTGACATCTTCCTACCATCTGTTACCCACAGTTGAATTAATATGGCTACTGATTGCCTTTAAGTTGTGTACATTTAATTGTATCACGTTTAAATTTAAGGACGTGAAAAAGGGATAACTGTGTTAGAGATAACACAGAGATATAGAAACTAAATGTAGTTTAAGGGGACAATGATAAAACTAATCCTGTATGATGGTCACTGATGAAGAGGCTTATTTACTGTTTTGAACACAGAGGACAGGGACACTAGTATATTTCACACACAGTGACGACTATCACATATTAACATCAGCCACTAATGAACATTTAATATAACTTGATCCCCCTATTAGTCTTCCTGAGGTTGTGGTAATATACATCAAGTAGAAGCTTTAAGGCTTAATAAATCATGACCAGCCATTGGAAATGGAGTAAAAAGAATCATCAACTCAGAAAAAAAAGACAGAAGGCTTGAATATGAACAGCCAATAACATGGTAAATAAATTGTGATCTACCTCACTTTTTGACAGTGCAACTGCATGTTAAATTATTAACTGGGAGCAGATAGGAGGATTTTGTTCAAAGGAAGTGAGTTCAGGTCAATCTGGTATTTGACATTGCTGATCGCTTCCCCCATAAATGTACATCTACTTTCTGAAATGACTGAAGTAAAACCAGTACATTTTAAAGCGTTTTGTTTAAACGACATGAAGAAAATGTTTTATGTTTGTGACTGATCCATTCTGTTAAAGCTACATTCTCAGCAGACCTCCTTGATTGTCGATTCAGATGACGCAAATGGTTTTAACAAGAAAAAGCCAGTGCACCTGAGACTCTAAACATCTCATTTTGAAATGGTTAATCTCAGTCCAGATCGACATAATGACATTTTTTGCATGCAGACATCTTAACCTCTGAAGGGAAATATTTTGGACTAATCAAGCCAAGTGTGTGTGTGTGTGTGTGTGTGTGTGTGTGTGTGTGTGTGCACAAGGATGGAAATCACTTAAAAGCCCCCCCATGTTTAAAAGGTTTGTAAAATGTTGACATGAGAGCCTAAGAACATTAACATCTCAAGGCCTCGCTTGCTTCTTTGAAGTAGGGCTGTGAGCCATTTTTCTTTAAATGATGCATGAATTATATTTGACTATCCTCATTATCAAAAACTGATGGTTATCTCCTCTCCTCCTTGTCACTTACTTCACAGCAACAATCATGTTTACACTTCCTAAGATTTCCTCTTCACAATGCTCTCAATCACAGATAAATAGTACTGCCAGCCACTCGGGCCAGTATCAAGTCTGAACAATGCTATGATCAACTGCAGCGTTTCATTCTTAGAAAACAAAGGGGGGGGGGGGTCTTTATTACAAACACATTCTCATCTTAGAAAACCCAACATATTTATGGATTTTAATTTTCTCCACTGTCTTTGCACACTTGATATTCCAACAGGAAACATTGATGCATTTGCACATGAAACAAAGATAATGGCCAAGTCCGCAATCAAAGCAAATAATCACAATCACACTGTAACTTTTATTGTTCTGCAGCTGTAAACGGGGACACGCTAGATCAAAAATAAGCAGAGGTGCACACAGCATTGCAGGGAACCAAGTGCTATAATTTGAGCTGCAATTATCATAAATTACACATCAACAATAAAACAAATGTGGGAAAAATTAAGTTGTGGGGGTGCGCATTTGAGTCCTCTTTAGGTGTTCTTGTCTTTTGCGTGGTAATTATAAAAGAGAATTAAGAAGTAGAGTGAGATAAAGAACCTTTAGCTTCAGTTTGTTAACAATGTGAAGAGAAGTGAAAAAGTTGAATCTACTTATTGCAGAAAGAGTTTCATTGTTCCTCAGTTTATATAAAACCTTTAAAATGCTGAATCTGTAAACATCTGAAAATTCATTGAAAAGTTTTGGAAGAATGGAGTAAGACAGAGAAGATGTGGAAGGCTTACTTATTGAGAAACTGTTCCAGACCATGCCTCCGCTCCTCTATGAAAGAGTCATCAAATATCCCATCATCCCCTCGAAACGGAAGCTGCCGGATAAGAGCTTTTCCTGGGAGAGGTGGGACGACCACCTGGGAAATATAAAATAAAATACATATGAATAATGTGGATGCCAGTGCTAACCAATCACAAGAATAAGTATTTTTATCAAAAAGACAGCTGACAACTTTTATTTGAAAATGATTATGTTCTGCATGATCAGGTCAAAACATATTTATTTGCTTTTCTAGCAAACACTGAGTTCATGTTTCTCATTAATATCAGGACAAAGAAACCATCTTCCTACA